TGTCGTCTGGCAGCCCCTCTGCTCGCCCTCAGCCCACCATCAGCACGGTGCGAGCTCCGCAGGACTGCCATCCTCCAGCGTCGCCGTGGCTGGAGTTTCCTTTGACTGCCTCTAAGCCCTCTAAGCCCCGGACTCCGCCTCGGCCCATCGGCTCAACCATGGCTCCTAGCTCCCTCCTGGCCCATCAATACCACGACTGAGGTGAGACCCTTGAGCAAGGCACAATAGTGCAACTGCTCCCCGGGCGCCGCAGCAATATGGCTGCCCACTGCTCCGGTTGTGTGTTCACGGTGTGTGTGTGCACTTGGATGGGTTAAATGCAGAGCACAAATTCCAAGTATGGTACGTCACTTCACTTTCACTTTTTTTCACTTTCATAAAATGGCTCTCTGTCTCCGCCTCGGGCTCCTCCGCCACCTGCTCCGCCGCCGTTGGTCGGCCCCCTGGAGTCGTCAGCCCTTCCTCCTCCATGGCTCCTCCCTCTGTCGCTTCCACTGTGGGTCGTCATTATGGCTGTGGCCTGGGTTCCACCTGGCACTCCTCCTGAGCCTCCTCCCAAGGTCCCACCCGTCCCTCCCTGTGTTGTTCCTGAGGCGCGAGGACGCGCCGTCCGGGAGGGGGGCGATATGTGATGCCCCAGGACTCTGTATGTGTGTTTCCCCTCCCCCTCCCCCTCCATGTGCCTGCCTGACCTAGTTTCCTCCCTCATGTTAATTGTTCATTGCTCCCAGGTGTGTCTCGTCATCCCCTCGTCAAGTCAAGTATATAAAGAGTGTTCTGTTATGTGTTTCCTTTGTCCGGTGTCTATCGTCCATTGTGCTACATGTATTCCCTGTTTCAGATATTAACAGACTGTTGATTGTGATTCTCCTGCATTCCTCGTTCCTTCCGTAGGCAATCGTGACATGAAGAAAGATGCATAAAGTGTATCAAGGTTTTGCAGGGGTGTGTTCAGCGATTAGACATCTGGTAATGTCTGGTAATTAATAAATAAATAGTGCTGGTAATTGAAAGGTTGTAGGTTCAACTTCAGGATCCATGAACCATTAAGTCTTTGATCGAGATACTTAGCATTGGCATCCCCAGAAGAATTGCAGCTGTAATGAGTGCACTGCAAGCTAGTCTGCATTAAAGCAGCATCCGCTAAATGAATGAGGACGCCTGAAACACTCTCTAAACAAGCAAAAGCTTGTACAGACACTGATACAGACTTCACATGGTTTCACATCGTGTTCCAAGTGTTTATCTTTTGGGCATTCATTTGGAATTATTGCACTCATATGAACAAGTTATCACCCTATTAGTTATTAGTCTAAATCTACATTAACTCTGCTTCATAGTAAAGCACCGAATTTTTATTTAACGGGATCACAACTTTTTTCCACATTTATTCAAAGCACTTCAGTCAGTGACTGAACAAAACCCTGTTAACTCATTTTTACCCCAAACCCCTGTTATTTCCGACCAATGGCAAAGGGAAGACTAACCCTTATTGCGTGCATAACATTTATATACGCCATATATTAATATTTATTATATTTATAACCGCTACGAATAGCTGTGCACACCAGTGACGGGATTTCGGCTGAACGACCACGGCTTGAACAAATTTCTGTGTCTCTTATTTAAAATGAACCACAGAGACTTGAGCTTTCCGCGTCCTGAACAGCGTTCATGTTCAATATACACTATAACTGAAAAGTTTGGGGTTCGTACACTTTTCAACAGTTTTTGAGAGAAATCT